TGACAGACTGTAAATGAAAACAGTAAATAACATAAGTAATTGTTTACCCAGTTCAGTGCAAACCACACCTACATCTGGGGGCTACCAAGGCAGGGAGGAAATTCACTATTAGTAGAATTAATTTAGAGTTAAACAACCAGTTTGCACTCTTCACTTAAGACCTACCCAATGACACTTCAGCCTAACACTAGACCTGAGTTACCAACTCATTCCCCCTCAATCACAACAGTGATATCAACCAATTCAAAGTTACAAATAAAATTGAAGACACACTTCAAACACACATTGATCTTGCTTCACAACTTTGATCAAGTGACACAATACTCTTGCTTAAAAGCTTAGAGTGACACACTTAACATATAGCTTAAGAACTCTAGACCAATGCAATCATATAGCAGATAATTGCTTGGTTTATAAGTATTCCTAAGACACACAAATACACGTGAAGAACAAAATTCTTCACTCACAAATACACGTTCTCTAAAACCCTGTCAAGAACTATATTCAAATAGGATTGCTACTTCTGTATATATATAGGCAGCATACAATCCTTGGGCCTTCGCGCAGAAGTTAGGTTTACCCAAGATAAACCTCTCTTCATGAAATTGTGCACGCCCAATTAAGTCAGTGGCATTCCATGTTATCCTCAACAATGTCTGATATGTCTCCTGAGATAACTAGGCTTCCTAAAATGTTTCCTGAAGTATAGCCTGAGCTAATACCAGAAACTAAAACCTGCGCGCCCTGATGTCATACGCTTGATGTCATAACATTCAGCATGACATCCAACTTAACTTGCTCTTAACTATCCCAACTTACCCTACAGAACACCCTTCATGTATGTCATAACATCAGTTATGACATTCACACATACTCCAATGTTTTGCCACAAAATGCAGCCAATCAAAAGCATCTACAAACATTACATAAACCAGCAAGACCAGAGTAGTAGATAACATTTTTTAACCAGTTAGCGTCAGGATGTTCCTAATCTAATATCTTCCTTTGTTGGTTTACGAAATTTAAACATGGATGCTCTTGTAAAAAAATATCAGGATCACTCGCGATTAAATTAGTTAAAAATCGATGTAATGCAAAGGTAAATAAACATACCTCTCATTCTCAAACATGGCTAGAAGCATGGTCTCATAGAGATGAATTAAAGAGGTGCCCAATGGTCCTCATAAATAACTATCTCAAGTACATTTACAATGGGTTCCTTGAAGGTGCAAGAAACACAAGGAATTGGAGGATTTGAATTGAATTTCTAGATTTAAAAAAAATTTCCACCAAATATATCAAACATCAAAGATAATGATAAAGATAAGAACACAAGTATTTTTATCCTGATTCGCAACAAAGCTACTTCCAATTCACCCACCTGAGTGATTTCGCCTTCAAAATAGACTTAATCCAATAATCAAACTGATTACGAACAGAAAGACTATTCGTCAATTTCTTCTTGAGAAATTCATACTATACCCTAGTCTCTCAAGGAAACTAACTCGAAGACAAATTGTCTAAGACTTCTTGAGTATTCATACTAACACTAGTGACTCAAGTTCTTAACCAAAGGTTAAGAATATAGTGTTGTGTTTATAAATATTACTTCTCAAATAAGTAGGTAACACACAAAATGAAGATCAAATGATTGCACATAAAATAATATGTAATGAAAGCTGAGTGTTTCTCTATTTGTTGTTGTTGTGGTGTTGTAGCTTCGGTGTACGCCAAGACTCACATTTTTCCATATTCTTCTTCCTTTAAATATATAGGAGATAAAAATATTTATTGGATGGTAGAATAGGAATATTATATTAATTCCACTATTGCACAAACAATATAAAGCCGTCACAAATTGTGCGGAGTGGATAGAAAAATATATGATAGTCGTTGATATGACAATCCTTAAAGATACGACAGATCCATCCTTTTAATGAAATCCATTTTTAATTATACTTTCCTTGAATATACTTATCGTCATAATTAGAGGTTTCATATAATAGATGAAGTGAAGCTTGATCAGAGTCCAAAATCGTGATGATGTAACTACAAAGTCTATATAGAGTAAGACTTGAAAATCAGAGTCAAAAGTAAATCTGAACAAGAAATGCAGAAGTATTTACTAGTTTGTTCAAATGCTTTGACTTTTAAAGAAGTGATTCCTTCGTTTACTAACTTCTAGTTAGAGGCTTATGATATAAATTGTTGAAGTTTAAGTAGGGTTCAGAGGTTTGATCTAATAGAGTCTTGTAGCCATAATCGTTCTGAATAGTTCATTGTAGGAGTGTTAACTTTGATGATCCTGAAGCTTGACTTTTCTTTAAACACGCCTTTGTATTCTTCCTTTTATTCAAAGTGTGTCTTCACTTTAGAATCAACTTTTTGCTTTTCTCAGACTTCGTCTGCTTTTAGATTTGACTTCTTCAGAATCAGAGTCTATTTTCTTTTATCTACGCACTTAACAAAAATAGTCAGAGTACAAATTTGTTCTCTACAATTTGTTATCATCAAAATATAAGAATAGTTGTATAATCAAACTTGTTCCAACATTTCTCTTAGGCTTCAAAGGCTTCACGAGTTGGGGACATGTGGCCCCGTGAAGTAGGTGCCTAAGGAAGACGACTACATAAAGTAGAACTAGATGGTTATGTACTTTGGCCTTGTGAACCATCAAACAAGATATCATCAACTTGTGGTCTCGTGACCCTGTCACTCGCCCTCTCACGTCATATAGACGCGTGTTAGAACACATGGCCGAACATAACTTTATCCTGGTTGTTTTCAACTATTGCAACTGTAATAAAATTAAAAAATCACATAAAAAAATTCAACCAAAATGCAATTAGACACAAATTTGGAGATGTATCTCCAAAAAAACACAATGAAATTCACCGATGTATCTCCGAACGAACATGGGGTTTTCATTAATGGCATTAACTCAATTGTTGCCCTAACCTCCAACCAAATGACAGTGCATGTCTATATCAACCACCTATTTCAATTTTACCTAAAACATCATTTAAAACACACAAAAAATAATGAAATAAGAAACTTACCAACTTACCAAATTTAAATTGTGGATGAGAAGCTTGAATTAAATGAATAACTTTGCAGCAAAAGAAGTAGAATGAAGTGGGTGAACTAGGTTAAACTTGCTCAAATGAGGTTTGAAATTGGTTTGCAACAAAACAGTTCAAATGAAATTTTTTGAGTGAGAAGGAGGAAGAAAGAAAGATTTGACGCGGGTTTATAAATAAAACACGTCTGGAGATACATCTCCGTAAAAATCTCTAAATTTTAAATTGATGGTTGTTACAAAAATGCATCTCCGGACATACCCTTGTATTATATGGAGATACATCTCTGATTTAATTTTAGCAAAATAAAGATGGCTCATCCAATTATGCTGAAAGGCGTGTAAAAAAGATGTGTCTGAAGATGCTTCTCTGAGCACCATTGATATTTGTGAATTTTTACCAATTAAGATCATATGACCTTTAAAGAACAACTCCAAAAACTTATTTAAAAATAATAAACACAACTATCTATATAACACCCATACAAACACCAAACAAAATAACAACTCAACCTATCACACCAAATCAAAAGAAAGGATCGTGCCAAATCCCGAAAGATATATCAAAATATATCAAACACATATATTTATATATATTTTATAAATATTAATATTTTTTAAGAATATATTATTTTTATATGCATAATTTTTTTTTCAATTATAGATATTTTTTTATTAATTAAACAAATAATTTAATGAAACCCATTTATAGTAAATTTGTATTGGAAAAAATAATTTTATACTTTAATTAAAGTCTATACACAATTTTTAAGATAATATTTTTTAAAGGCACAAATTAGCATTACCCATATTATATATAAAAAAAAAGAAAAAAAAGAACGGAAAGAAGAAGTTGGCTTCCTCCATCTAAAAGAATTGAAAGATAAAATTAAAGGAATTATTCTTTTCACAAAAAGAAAATAAAAAAATACACCATCAAAATAATTCTAAAGATTTAGTAAAACAAAACTTTCCTATCAATATAATTGATTTTTACAATATAATGCTTATTTAGTTGTCCTATAGTCAATTTTAGATATCTAGGCATTGAATAGTTTTTCCGTTAAATTCTTATTCTTTTGGAGAAAATCAGGTTGTACTTCTTATTGCCTTCTTAATAGGTCATTCGTTGTACTGTTTTAAATTGTTTGCGGCTGGCTATTCATTCATTTTGTATGACTGGTAGGTTGGTAGTTGGTACCATATTTGCAAACAGGAGTGTTATATTGGAGAATTGATTGCAAGAAGATTATAAAGATGCATCTTAGAAATTAGTCAAAAGATATATCTCCAAACAAATTTTTGAGCTAAATAGAAATGTCTTATTTGCAATGTCATCAAAGATATACGGATTTTAAGAGGTGGGGTAATCCCCAAATTAAAAAGGCCTCATAAATTTATTTTAAAAATCCATATATTTATGCTGATTTGACAATATTTACAGAAAAGGTAAATGAACATTTCCTTATTTCAAAAAGCTTAAGCAATGCCCACTAGTACTTCACACAACCAGCCATATAAATAAATTGACTTGTAGGAAGTATAATGGATAAAGCAATGTTTGTATTTTCATTGTTCAGACAATAGAACAATTTTCAGTTTCTTGCAAACTGTCAATATAATGGAAGCAGAGTTTTTATTAACTTCAAAATTATAATAAACAACTAATTAAGAAAATACTTATAAAGTATACATCATCTAACTTAGTCTTGAAGAATCCTTTCACTTTGGTAAAAATATGTTTCGTCTCCTTTCATTGGCCTAGGACTAGCTTAAGAAAATTGCTGCATATTTATAGGCAGAAACAAGTTACATGGGTTCACATGTTGTGTGAGTAATCATAATCTATCATATTCTATCATACCATATGAATATACATTAAGCAGTGACTGCATGGTGTAGCAATAAACAAACACAAACATTATGCTTTGATGTCTTGACTCTCATCATGACTTGATACAGATGAAGAGGCAGCAATTTGTTTGCCTTTGCTATCTGACAATGATGTGTCCTCCTCGCCTATATTTTTCTCAATGTTTTCTTTCTGTAGGAAAATGATATCAGGAGTTAATTTTTTTTTCTTCATTCGGAAGAAACCATTCTCAGAAGACATTGATTATAGCAAACTAGTTATGAGATTAAATGCAAAAGACGAAGGATGGTAGTAAAATAAGTCAATTTTGGTTTCACCATTGTCTAAAGTAATTGGTTTGATCAAACCCCTTTACTTTAACTATTATAAAGTAGCAAACCAATAATTAAAAGCGCCTTTGTATGCATAATATACACAATTATTCACTTAACATAAATTTAAAAATATATATATATATATATATATATATATATATATATATGTTCAAAAAGTAAATATGGTCTTGTTTTCGGTGTTTCTAGAAATGCATTCTCTCTAGTTAGTTTCTATTTTCTTTGTATCACAAATGAAGAAGAAAAAAATCTAAGACCAAATGGTGCTCCAACTACCTACATACAAAGTCAAAACTGAAAATGAAAATCGAAAAGTGTTATTAGAAAATTGTACCTCAATCTGGAGTTTCCTTTGAGCTCCCAGTTGGGATCCCTCTCCATAAACCATGTGGGCTACATGTGTTTGAGATGGTGGAGAAGAGGATATATTCATTGGTCCACCGGGGGTCACAAACTGCTTGCGTGCTTCTTGCTCACTGGAAACTTGTTCTCTCTTGGCATTAGATGATTCAACCACAGATCTTTGAACCATGGGATGAAGAGTGTAACCAGGGGGGCTGTGAGTATGAAAATTTAGAGATTTGTCATAGGTTCAAGGAACAGCTCTTGCAACATCTTTACATATATACAAAGATTTATGTTTCGGTTCAATAATTCTTCCAACGAAAAAGTGACAAAAGTAGAGTTTGTTAGTTTTCATAATTTCAGATTTAAAGAAAAACAGGAGTGTCTTAATTCAGGAACAACAATTGAATGAAACTGAACATTTCACTGCAGAAAAACATATCTTATCCTACCACTTAAATCCATGATCCAAAAACATTCAGCTTCATTCTAAGTAGAAATACTCTATCTGCCTATTTCCTCCTTAAACAGTAAGGGGAAAAGACACTATTCTTATTTGTTATCAAGAGTTCTGTTTGACAATGCATTTTAAATTTAGTATAATCCACTTTGAACCCATCTTTTCCATTTTTATAAGATGAGAGAGACGCATACAATTTACTTTATAAGTAACTATACAGCAAGACATATTGTCCTAGGTGAGATCGCTTACCATGCAAAAGTTGGAGAAGGGTAAACATAAGACTTCTCATATATTGAAGCTGCTGATGCAACAGCTTGAAGTCTTGCTTGATGCCGACTCAAATTATCACATGCCACCCCATTGCCAACCTCAGTTTGAGCTGAGCTTCCAGTGCCTGCCCCTGTTCCATTTCTAGATTAATCTTAAAATATAATAGCAAGAATAACCACCGAGTCACGTTCCTACTAGCATTGGGTGATATTCCCAGGTTAAAATAATCAACTTCAAATATCACATTGAATACAAAATACATGTAAAGCTATGTTGTTTTATATGACAAGGTAAACATTACTTATATAATCCTTCTAGATATCCCCTTTTAAAAATAATTTAAACAGTATAGTTATGTTGGACTCTGCCGGTACCATCATGAACTCAAAAATAAGTTTGAAAAGTTAAGCAGAGAGTATTTTTTATGCACTTCAAGCGAATTATGAAAGAAAATGTATGACAGAGTTTCTGCAAGTGTGTAACAAAGGGCTCATAGTTTTTTGCTATGGGTGAAATTGATATACTAGGCCATTATTGGAAAGGTGCATGTACGACGAGCAATAGTTTGTCAGGATCATCCTTTAACTATATTTCTTCATTTTATTATTCCAAAGCATCTTATCCCTGGAAATATATTTCCAAGCATTGGCAAATTACTAAAATGTTTGAGGCCTACGAATACTGTTCAATTGTAGTAGTTGTTTATCATATGATTACCATGCCGATGAGCATCTGACTGTGACCTTTGCTGCCCACCAGCAGCAGTACTACCATTTTCCGTTGGGACAACCAGTGCTCTGCAGGTAGGGCAAGTATGCTGCCGCTCCAGCCATGATCGGAGGCAGTGAACATGAAAAAGATGACCACATATAAGTTTCTTTGCAGTAACCATCTCTTCACGACAGATGATGCACGTTGCATCACTTCTGCAAAGCCATATCAAGAAATATTGTTTCAAATGTATACAAACAAAAACAATGAGTATAGATGCAATCCTAAGTTTAGAACTCACGCAATAAGCTCTTCGGGGGTTGCATCAGGAAACCGGTCATTCATGTTAGAAGTGATCTTACGGTAACGTAAGTAATCTGCAACACGGATTTTGAAGTTCCTAAATGTCTCGTACAGCTCCCTTATTAAGTGCAAAGGAACTCCGTAGTTTCTGATAAATCAAATTAAAGTTAGAATAAAACCAGTCAAGTTTGAAAATGCAATCAGATCAAAATCAGAACTAGAGAAAATAAAGAGCATAAAAAACAGGTGAACTAAACGATTCCCTTGCATGCCAAAAAGAGAAGTATTACTGAAAGATGCATAAAAAAATTCACCTACAACCTTGTCATGTTGAAAATCTGAACCCAGAACTGATACTCCTTTTCTATCTTCAAGGGTTTCATTCCTATTAGCCAGGAATAACACTAAATCTAACATGCTCTTGCATTTACTCTAACATAACATTCAGGAAGTATCAAAATCTCTAGTGATTCTAACCTGGAAATATCATGAGAGTAGTTTCTCGAATACAAACCATATACTTACCTTCAACATATAACTTTTAGAAATTTGACCCAAAAACCAATATTTCAAAATCCAATATGTTAATTTTCAATTTTGACCTTAAAAAATTTGATTAGTTCGGGTGTGCTAAGGGAGCTTCATTTCTGTTCTAATTGGTTACATTACATGTTATCAATATTCATACAGCGCAGATGTACTTCTCAAAGAGTCATTGCAATTTGCCAACATTTAAATTTGGACACAAACACTATTTGACTTTAAACCTCTAAAGGGCTTCTTAGCTGGAGCAATGTGGTACTGAGTCTCTTAAAAAGTTTTTGAAATATTTTCAAAACAAACAACATATGTTATAGCTTCTATAGTGCTGCATGCACATGCTGCTATGTTTAAATTATGCAAGGGAGTAACACAGGCAAGTGATCACTTACATGAAAATTGCCAGAAAGAAGCACATATACATAGACAAGTGAAGCAAATCCTTAACAAGTTCCAAGTAAAACGTGAAGACTGGTTTCTTTTCCCATTGTCCCTCCATAAGCATGTCACTGACATAGAAAATATATTTTACAAAAATTGATACTGTTGTTGTTGCTAGTATCATGTACCTGAGATAGAACATATACTATGTCAAGACAACACAAAAGAGTATTAAAACCACACGTCCTATTGCATTCTAAAGAGTATTATTATAAATTGATAGATGTTAACTTCTGGATACCACAGAAAGTACCAAATAGCATATACATTGAAATTGTGTATAAATTCAACTTTCTTCATATAAATTTCAACTATAATGGAGTTTTTAATATATTAAAATGTACAAGTTTGATTTGTTCCATATAACAAAATTAAAAGTAAGGCATTCACATCCACCAGAAATCATGTTAGAAAATTTTTCATAGTTTCAATGATGATTAACAATGTCACAAAACATTTGAGAAGGGCATAAGAAACAAGTAGGTCTTACTCAAAAGAAAAAAAGAGTGAAACCGATGCCTGCTGTGTTGCTAGTAAATGCTTCACCGATCTATACAAAAACGTGCCATCTAGAAGAAGAAGAAAGCCCAAAAAAGACACAATTCGAACTTGAGACAACAAAGACACAGAAGGTGTAGTCTCTATATACTCTACTCTCTTCTGAGCCAACCAATGCAAAGCCTTAATCAACAAGAGTGCTGTGACCATAGCAAGGAATGTAATAGAAAAGTCCTGCCTAAAGATAGTAATTGCAAAGAGAATTTCCATAACCTCCCTCCACGCTTGCTCGTTAAGCCTCTCGACCTCAGCTTCTCGAAGAGAGCCGAGAAACACCTTTTTAGTTAACTGCCACATACTACACATGATGACTAGAGCCATGTTGAGAAGAAGCACCAAACTGATCTTGGAAGTTGCCAGATAAACCATTGCTGGATAAAATTGACCTCTACTGTTAAACGCATGATATGTTACCGCCAAAGTGGCAATTAAGCTAAGACCCGCATATGTCTGCAACCTCATCATTTTGATCTAAAAAACACAAAACAATTCAAAACCCGCAGCATACATCTATATGATAAAAAAATCCGTAAACAACAACAAAAACTGTAAATTGAACTAAAAACTCAAAACCTAAATGAGAAGGGGAATTCGCAGAGTTAAATAAAATGAGAAATTGAAAGCAGAAATTATTGAAACTTTGTATGAAAATCGAGAATGGGTACCGGATTTTGGAGGAGAGAGACGTGTGAGGGTTTTGTTGATCGGAACGGAACGGAGGATCCAACGGCGGTGGGTAGTAACTGGGGGAGCTACAGTTGGATTGGGGTTCTTACATGGAATTTTATGTTTTTCAAAGTTATTAATGAATGACCGTCCATTTTTAAAATAAGCATGATGTGGAACATCCAATCATTTTTTGCCACGTTGGATTTTATGCAAAGTAAGCGGCACTCGTGTTTGTTTTTATGAGAAATTGAGAAGAGAGACCAGCAATATATTATTTTAAAGGAAAATTCTAACGAGTATCCGGACAATTAAGAATTTAGAAAAGATATATTTTATTTAAAAAACATTTTTATTAAATAGATTAAAAGTTGAAACAGATAGCTTTTTTTAAACAATAAAATATATGTTTTTTTTTTATAAAAGATTTGAATTTAATGCAATATCTTTTATTTGGAGTGTTTAAAGAGTGTCCCTGAACGTTAATAGGACTCTATTTTAAAAAATTTAAAGATTAAAAAAAAGAGTTTTAAATGTTTATTAGAAAAATATATAAATTTTAGATTTTAATACTGATCTCACCTGATCAGGAGGATTGGCAGCCGGCCACGCGTCGACGTTATGGGCTTGGAAACAACGTCTCTTCGGAGAGAGTGGGGGGTGTACCTGCAAAGCACTCTGATGCCTAAGTCAAACTTTTGGCAGAGTGAGAGAAAGAACAGAAGTTAGAAGAAGTGTGTACCTGACCCTCTTGTGGAAGAGGGTATTTATAGAGAGACCCCAGCGCTGGGCCAACGGTCATTTGAGTTGGGTTGGATGGTCAGGCCCAATGCAAATGACTGCTAGGGCTTACGTGGCGTAGTGAAGACCGAAACGTGGTCTTCGCCCTAGTCCAATTGTTATGAGGTCTCCGGGAGATGGGTTTGACCTATTCTTTCAGAGAGGGGCAGTTGGTTGGTGACGTGTCCCCGCGGAGGGGTGCACGTGGAGAACGTGTGTGAGGTACGTTTGCTCTGGTCGGAGGATGGGTATCCTGCTCGGCGGATACAGGTGTTGTCTGCGACGGGCAGGTGAAAGGCGAGATGTCCCCGCGGAGGGGAATCCGAGGAGACCGAGCAGGGGATGTGATTCTCCTGCCCGGCTCCATGCGCTTTGTTAGCTGGTTCCACTTGTATGAGTCTTAGCATGCTCGACTGAATGGGGGAAACGTGTCAGGGCTATCATGGGCCGTGTCGCCAGTATCGGACTGGGCCTGGTTGACTGAGTTGGGGCCCAGTCCGAAACAGGAGCCCCCTAAGTCGAGGCTACTCGGGCAGAGAGTGAAGACTTTGAGGAGAACATACCGAGGAGTTAGTTGGTGCGAGGAGGATGGGGTGATACGTGTCCGGCGATGATCCGCGCGGGGCAATTTAGGAGTTTTCCTCGAGGAGGAGATGGAGGGACGTGTCTGTTTGGTCTCTGCCACGTGTCGTCCTGTGGCTGGCTGTGAGGGCGGCTACCCTAGGGTACTCAAGTACCTAGGGGACGCTTCGTATTCTGCGCAGGGATATAAATACGAAGGTCCTCGCCATTTCCTCATTTTTCAGTCTCCGCCACGTGTCGTCCTGTGGCTGGTTGTGAGGGCGGCTACCCTAAGGTACTCAAGTACCTAGGGGACGCTTCGTATTCTGCGCAGGGATATAAATACGAAGGCCCTCGCCATTTCCTCATTTTTCACTCTTCCTTTCTTCTCGTGAGATCTTCCTGATTCTAAGTGAGCCGTCGTCGTCGCCGCCATAACGCCTGTCGTTTTTCCGCCTTCATTCGCCGTTTCAAAGTAAGTTCACTTTTCCCTACCCCTTTTTTCTTTCTTATTCGCCGTAGACGGCTGGGGCGATGAATGCGCCGAGGTGGCGTGTGGATCGTCGCCGTGTAGGATAGGTTTCTTCCGCCGCGTGGTGTGGAAGTTTATAGGTTTAGGATGAGTGCGCCGAGGAGGCATGCCAAAATCCGATGAATACGTCGGGGATGTGATGAAGTCCCCGGGGACAAGGTGAAAAGTCCCGAGGAGGGGCAACTCCTTCGCGAGTGTTCCGACGAGAGGAACGGGGGTACCAGCTCGGCGATGCAGCTCGCGGGATCAGCTCTGTCGCCCTTTCACTTGATTTGCGGTGGAAGGGTGGATTTGATATAGTGTATCGAATTCACTGTTACCTTCTGCTTTTCAGGTGTTCATGACAACGTTCATCCCGGGAGAGATGGTCGACGACACCGAGCCGGACACGCCATACTACGCGACGCCGGTTCGACCAGCCGAAGAGTGGGTGGCTAATGAGCCTTTGTCCACTCCGTCTAAGTTCGCTACGGATGCGACCGATGCGGATGCGACCGTGGAGGATCTATATGAGGGCAACACCAAGAACTGGGTGGTGTACCGTCCTCGGGAACATCATCGAGTATGCCAGGTACTCTGGCGGATGAGATTCCCGATGTATGAATTTTATTTCAAAGAAGCCGGGTTCAGGTTGCCGTTCTCGGATTTTCATCTCGGGATTTTTCACTATCTGAGGTTGGCGCCTTCGCAATTGCACCCCAACGCCCTGGCATTTATGCGGGCGTTCGAGATCCTCTGTAAATACTTGGAGGTCGGCGCCACGTTGTCGTTGTTCTTTCGTCTTTTCCATTTGCAACGTCAGTCTCCGGGCGGGAAGCATGGATGGGTGTCCTTTAAGCAGCCGGCCAAGATGTTCCGAACGTACATGAATTCCATCAAAGATTTTAAAGGCCGGTGGTTTATTGTAAGCCCGATAACTCACCAGGCGATGAATACGTTGTATACCGAGGGGGAACGGATAGTAAATGGGCGGGGAGAGCCTCAGATGTTGCCGAAGGTGCCCGTGACGTGGTATTCGGAGCATTTCGACCGCGGTACGGACGCTTACATCTACCGGCCAGGGACTCTTGGCGAGGATGACACGGAGTCGTATATGAGAATCGTGACCTTTGTCAGGGAGCTCCCGCCTGCGCGATTGGTGACCCCTGATGGTCAGTATATCCGCGACCGGCAGGGGAACGTTTATGAGGAACCTCGTTTGATAAACACGAAGGTTCTTCTCGCGTGTCCTTCCGAGCGGGAGGCTTTTGTGTATCTTGGTATATATTTTTTTCTCTAAGACTTTTTCCTTCTTTTATCCTTTGCGCTGCTGATAGGTTCTTTTCTGTGTTTTCAGGGAGGATGGCTGTAACACCCTTCTAAACCCCGCAAATAATACATGCATAATCAGAATAAAAGTTAACATGCATCCATAAAAAGGGCGTTACACAAAACTTTCACAACATCAAACAATCTGTCATGCTCATAAACACCTTTTCATATAGCAGCGGATTCATTAATGATAATTTCGTAAAAGGAATATTTGCTTTCATCATATAAAATCAACATCTCTAGGCACTAAGGCCAACATCTCATTAATCCAATTAATCCCAATATGAAAACATAACTTAGATTACATAATGGAATCGTAAAACATAAAACAATCGATCCCAGTGTTACGCGACCAGAGCATGACTCGACCCATAAATAATTACTAAACAGCTACACCAGTAGCGATCTCGTAACTACAAGCGGCTCTACTCTTGATACCTGCACGATGTCATATAGGACATCATTCCAGCTGAAGGGTGAGAAATATTATCATAATAATCAATGCATACAATTATATATATACACAAATATAGAATACAGATAATCCACATTTTCTCGCCATAACTCATTTCATTATCAAATGCATCACAACGTGTATATAAATAAACATAGACATTCATCAAACATTTTCATAATTGCGTTCATTCATAAATCTCATATTTAACAATTCATGCTAATAAGCATACTTTTGTACCACAATCATGTATTCACGTTTCTCAATTACGCAATTAATACACCTACGCATATTCTACAATTCTCACCATACTTCATCATAACTCATCATGCACATAATCATAGTCCTCATCAATTCACATAACATATACATAAGCATATTTGCACCCGACAATTCATATATTTACACTCTCAAATCAACAAGTCATGTACATATGCATACTCCACACAAAACCACAATTATCAACATTATGAACATTCACAAGCACATCCCTCCATACTTAATTCACAATCATTCTCAAAGCATTCCCACATCATGCATACACTCACATTTCAATAATATTATCATTCACACATAAGCATCTCTTCATGCATGTGTCGTATATCAATGTGACTCAATAACTCAATGCAAATCATGCAATGCGGTACCGACTCTCGTTATCATTTTTCGGTTTTTACATTAAACCGGGTCCACTCTTCTAGATCGATAACCCGTTATCTTTTTTCGGTTTTTACATTAAACCGGGTCCACTCTTCTAGACCGATAACACAAAGGCCCGTCCTCTAAGCCTTCAAACCCACTCTTCTAGGTTTGGGACAAGCCACTAGTTTCCACGAAACTAACAGACATTGCCTCTTGACTAAATGATGCATGTACAATCAACCACAAAATGCACTTAAGACCGTCATCTTAATTTCATGCATTCAAATAATTCATCTCTTCAAGAATTACATCATGATTGCACACACAACATATCACAATAATCACCAATGTATTCGCAATTCAAGAATATCACCACATTAAAACACAATGCACACATATCCGCGATATGTTCTCATGCATTATCCACATATATATTCACAATTCAATACAACCTCATATTTAGCAATCAATGCACGCATATCCATCATTATGCTCTCATGCATTCTTCATGTATTTTAA